TGACGCCACTCTTGCAAACGAACTGATGTGTAGAATACGCATAACGGTCATTGGCATAAGTCAGTCACGTTACTAGCTGTGGACTATTAGGAGCTAGCAATATACCAGTGCAGTTTTACTGAGCATGAGTGAACTTTTTCAAGGTCTTGAATTATAGCAATAAATAGAAATAGAGTCGCGAATAATTGACCAAAAAAATACCTATTTCGTCAACAAACCTAATTACAGCAGTTTAAAATACCCGGAATTAATTTCCCAAAATTGTATTTGAAAAGCTGGCCCTCTATTCACGTTATCAGTCTTTCGCGACATACATTTTCTTTGGAAATATCGTCAAAATGAATCCACCTCTGGATTCTCCAGTGTTGTGCATTTGGATTATGCCACCGGCATCTGTCAATTTCTTCGACAGTATTAAAGCTGTTGATTAAGTGTGGCCTTGGCCATAATGGCATTTAGTTACATTAATACTGTTTTTGGCAGATTTTGAATAATTTATTTTGACCCAGCTATGAAAAACTCGGCGCCTCGTTTGGATTCGAACCCGAAACAAATATTAATTATGTGAGCCTGGTAGTCATCTGGGGGATTCTAGATGGATTACTTTGGAAATCCTGCTTTGGCAGTCAACTTACTGCGTCAGAGTTGGTGGATTCCAAACGCTGCAGTAGGTTGGGCGGGTAACCTAACCCAAATGCGATTAATCGCGTCTCTCGGCGGGGCCTCAGCCCATGTGGCTAGAACGTTAGCTGTACTGAAGCCTACCTTTGCTGTCGTGGGTTCGAATCCCACCGAGGGCCGAGTTTTTCACAGTTGGGTCAAAATGAATTTTAGTTGTAGAGAAATGGGAATTGAGGCCGCATTCCCTGTTCCAATACGTGGTTCAGGGGAATTGTTTTGTGTCATCGACGAATGTATGTGTATACTTGCGCTTTGGTTCAGCTGTGTTCATACACGACATAGCTGGCTTCCATAATTAGGGCTCTTTGTAACTTTTAATATAGGCGTGCCCCAAAACAGCTGCTCGGTTTATTCTCTCGGAGTTGTTTTCTACAGCTTTTTGACTAAGAATCCGAACCGGACGGCAGTGGTGGCAAGTAAACTTGTTTACTAATGGCTAGTGATCGCCATATCGCGGCTTTCCATCGAACTTTACTGTTTTTAAGGCAGTCGGCATGCTAGGCCTCAACCCTCTGCACTTTGGTGGCACTGTTGTTGCCGTTCTGCGACTGCTCATTTGTCGGACCCGAGAGCCTGCATATTGTACATCTAGTTTTCGCGGAAGGCCGTCGCATTATCTTCCACCTCTACGTCGGGTCTCCAGCATCCGGTCTTTCTTCATACACGTTCATACTGAATCTTTACTAACAAATGCCCTTCATCTCAAAATTACCACGACCATTGTATACTGTTTTTAGAGGGACGGAGTGGCTTTTTTAGACCTAAAATTTAGTAATAAATGTACATAAAACCTAAGTACCATTCTGTTATTCGGTTACTCCCGTCTTGCCGGTTACAACTTATTCGCTGTAAACCAAATCTTTTGAACGGAACAAAATGTCTCACGTACTTTATTGCGGAACTTTATTTTCGATCATCCGAAAGTGTGTTTTATTTCATGACACCTGCATGATGGGGGTACTCTCGTCGATCAGGTTATGGGACGTGCTTATTCCTTTATGCATTAGGGCTCAGCCTAGAACTCTCGCAGACAGTCGCATCGCAACGGGAAGTATGTGTAGGTGGTACCAAAAAAGGGAGAGCGGGATGGCAATTTCCGGGCTATTAGCCTTCGTCAGTCAGTCGTACCCATCCCCAGGCTTTTCACGGGACTTCAACTGTGAACCCGCGTTCCTTGGTCTCCGAGCGTTAAGTAGTCTAAGGCTCTGGCATGGAGTCGCGGACTGTTATCCTCTGCCTGGCCTACCGGCAGAACCTCTGTTATTGTTGACAATATAAACCTACATGCCCGGAAGAGTGCTTGGTAACCGCTAGAATATTAGCGATTCGTAATAATTATTGACACCAGATTTCCTAATTGCATATGCTAATATGCCAAGTGTTTTACAACGACCTTCTTTAGTTCGAAGTTTCCCCTTCCCATCTCTGTATGCCTAGTTCCATCGCCATACTCTAAGTAAACCTAACACACTACTGAGCAAGAAAAGTTCATGCCGCTGGCAAGTAAAAGTTATCTGTGTCTTTAGGTTGGGTTTTGTCCCCCGGATCTTGAGGCGTTGGTAGAAAAAAACAGTCGGCATGGATACCGATCAGACTGATGGTGTGTCCGTTTGCTTTGTTATTGTCCCATTTTCGTAGATTATATGTCTATTTCTCTGAGTAATCAGAACAATCATGATCAAGGTCAGCGAAGCGTACTGGTCAACCGAATTCAAGGCGTGAAATTTTGTTCTAACGAAATATCGTAAGTTGGATTGATACTTAATTTGACACGTAGGACTGGGAAGTACAATGTTTGGACATTCATCCCGAAATTTTTATTCGAGCAGTTTCGCAAATATGCCAATATATTTTTCCTGGCCGTTGCTCTTCTCCAGGTACGTGATCTTTGTGTTGCTTTTAGAGCTCTTAGCAAATCCCTGGCGTTTCTCCGACCGGTCGCTTTACCACTGTTGTTCCACTAACAATAATTCTTCTTGTGTCAGCTATAAAGGAAATCATAGAAGACTTCGTGAGTTTTGCTACCCACGTGTTTGACTATTTATTAGAAAAGGCATACTACAGATAAGGCAACTAACGGGACCAAGACCTTGGGTAATGCGTTCTTAATTCACTAAGTTCCTACAATCGCCATTTAGTTTTAAGAGATGGACACTGGATAGAAATGCCGTGGATGCACGTGAAAGTTGGTGACATTGTCAAGGTGGTGAACCACGGTGGTATACCAGCTGATCTTCTCCTATTGTCTTCAAGCGAACCAATGGCGATGTGTTACATTGAAACCTCTAATCTAGACGGCGAGACCAACCTGAAACTTCGGCAGGTACTTCATACCCTAACTGGTCTTTCAGAATCCTGCCTTTCCTTAGGGTCTCAAGGCGACAGCCAACTACCTGACCGCTGAAGCTCTGGAGACTGTAGGCTGGCGTGTAGAATGCGAGAAGCCAAATAGGAATCTTGATGAATTCGTTGGCACCTTGTGGCTGTCGGATGGCAGGTACGTTTATGTTCTGAATGTTGTTTTTCCACGTCATTCTTTCCAAATACAACGCACTTCGTCTGTAATTTGCCTGAAAAGTAGTCAGACGCATTCTTTTACTCCAACATTTGGGTCTAGTATTGATGATCTCTGCGCTGTCAACATCTATCATACGCATACTTAAGTCGAGCAGCAACTTGGCAAAAACATGTATCTCAAAAGCGTGAGACCGAAATCACCCTTTATCTGCAACCCTGCACTCTTGCCTGCCGTATAATTGCCGTTCTTTGAAAAAAGAATATGCCCCGACTCGTTCCTAGAAGTAACCTTTTTCTGACTAGAAACCCTTAAACCACAAAATAAAGGCTGAAACCGAGCACCTTATACCTCCGCAGTTGTGCACAACCCAAAGGTCTTTCATTCAATGGCTTTTACACAGTGGTAATGTATGACCTAAACTCCCCAGATTCTCGTTTTGGAGTTAATAAGAGTAGTGCAATTTGAATACAACAGCCTGAATGTGAATTGAATTGACATTTTTAGCCACAGGGTCGTCAGCCACCAGGGTTCGGGTTGTCATGCAACTTCCTACTAACCGTTTTCTTATTCCTGGAAAATCACATCGTTATTACTCTTACACATGTTACCTTCTACCTGTCAACAAGGAAACATGTTTGCTATTTCACCTAAACACGAAATAAGATTTGATTTGCAGCCTTTAGTGTTTCTCCGATGTTGTGCTGCCTTTAATAAGGCCTTCCTTGTTTTCAACTCTAAATACAATAGTAGCCAAATTTTTTTGAATGAAATTTAACTGCCTATCCGTCCTGGAGTGCAACAGATCTATCTGCCCGAAGTATAACAAACGTGTTAGTTTGTCAACTCGGCGCATGATCTCTACTTGTGGTCGGAATCTTGTAGGATCCTATCCTGTCCACCCAACAGCTGGGCTATTGGCGATACTGAACATTGTGCAAGAAGACACACCACATATAGTACATGAGAAGCTCATTTATGCCTTTTTGCCACCCCACAGTTGTTGCCGACGTTGTCCACCGTGTACTCCACAGCACGGGAAGAGCAGAGACGGTGACTTGCACGTGATTTAGCTTATGATGAATGTAGACTTGCACAGAATCCACCTCACCCTCTCCTTCCCCACATGGACCAGGTGTCAAGACAGAGTCAAGAAGACCAGAGGCGGGGGAGGCCGCAGGTGGATGGCATGGTCGAGTCCGCATCTTGGCGCTCCACTCCACACCCCCTGATCCACACATTAAATGACCAGGTTTTTGACCAGCAACAGTCGGGGGGGGGGTGGCAGGGGGTCCCAGTGTGCTCGATGTATACCGGCATCGGGGTCTGCCATCGCACCCCGAAATGTTGGCATTTGTTATGGTGTGCAATCCGATAACGCCTGCAAGAATCCGATATGGCCCGCGGGTTGGCTCAGTGAATCTACCAAGTGGCCCGTTGTCAGTGTCGGTTTCGGAGATGGTGGCAGTGATGGAGCTGCTGGTGGTGGACGCGCTGAGCGACGGGGTCTGGGTTGAGCTAGGCATGGTGGATGTGCAGGAGGTGCTAAATGTGTCGAGACTGCTGTCAGTTCCGCTCTCGTGAATACGCATGTGACCGAATAGACCCATGCGGTGACTAAATGTGCAGGGGCAGGATGGACAGTGGAGGCGAGTGTAGATTGGTGCTCCAGGCACTGGTTCGCCAGTCTCCTTGCGATAGATTCGCAAGTGACCGACCAGGCAGATGTGTGAGGCGAAAATGCGGTCGCAATGAGTCCACATCGTTGGTGTTGATGGTGGGGAGGTTGATGTTTGTTAGTGGGTCAGGATTGTGTGCAGTGGTGGTGGATACAGGAGCCGCCGTAGCGGATGTTGAAACAATGAAGGAGAAGGATTAGGAGACAACTGAAGGGGAAACAATTGAGCCTCCGCGCCTGCTTCGTGTAGACAGTCCAGGTCTCCGTCCCATACAGCGGCGTCGGCAAGATGACCACCTTGTATATCTTCAGTTTGGTGCGGCTGTGGAGACCGTGACAGTTCCAGACGGTGTTTTGCAGATGACAGAAGGCTTGGCTGGCTTTGGAAATCCAGCGTGCCACTTCATCGTCGATCTTGGTGCTGAGGGAGAAGGTGCTGTCCAGGTAGGGAAAGTTGTTCACGGCTTGCAGTTGGGCGCCGTTCACGTTAATTTGGGGTACGACGTAGACAGCGTCGGGTGGCGGTTGATACATGACCACCGTCTTCCCCGCGTTGATAACCAGGCCAAAGTTGTCGCTGGCGGCGGCGGAGAGATTCATGGTCTTTTACACCTACCCTTCCGAGATGGCGTTGAGAGTGCGGTCGTCGGCGAAGGGAAGTTCATGGGTGGTAGTTGTGGATACACGCGACTGGAAGTGCGTCCGCCGCAGATTGAGGAGTTGACCGTCCTTCCTGTAGGCAATGCGGATGCCAGGTAGTTCGTCACGGGAGGCGTCCATCAGTATGGCATAGAACATGAAACTGAAGTGGGTATGCTCGAGGACGCAGCCTTACTTCACTCCGTTGGTCACTGCGAATGTTTTTGAAACTGCTCCATAGTCCCTGACACGCGCCATCGCGCCATCATGGAGCTAACTCACCACCTGAGGCAACCGCTCCGGACAGTCGAATTTCCGCCTGATTCTCCGCAGTCGAAGGCCTTCGTCAAATCCGCGAAATAGGAGTAGAGATGGGTCCGCATCTCCTGACGCTTCTCATGCAGTTGGTGGACGACAAAGATCATGTCCGTGGTTCCACGATGACGGCGGAAGCCGTACTGGTTTTCCGGCAGGGAACCCTGTTTCAAATGACTATTCAGGCGGTTGAAAGGATGCAAGTGAAGATCTGCCCGGTGATGTTCAGCAAGGAGATGCCTCGGTGGTTGACGCAGACTTGGCGATTACCCTTCCGCATATAAGATGGGCGATTGTGGCGTCCTTCACATCCTGCTGGATTTCTTCTCGACGCCACGTCTCCTGTAAGAGTGCCGTCAGTTGATTTACGCGTTGGATACCACCGTGCTTATAGATCCCAGCAGGGGTCGCGTCCGATCCCGGCGATTTTCCGCTGGAGAACTGCAGCACAGCCCTGATGATTTCGTGGATAGAGGGCAGGATGTCGAGGTCGGCATTGGTCTCCACTTGAAGCAGACGAGCGATTGCGGCGTCGGAGATGGTGGAGGGACGATTGATGACGCTTCTGAATTGCTCGGTCCACCGTTGGATAATTTGTGTCTTCTCAGTGAGTAGGGTACTGCCAGTGGCGCTGAGAAGAGGAGCAGCTGCTTTGGTTGGCGGACCATAGACAGCCTTGATCGCGGAGAAGAAATTCCTCTGTTTGTAGCGATCCGCTTAACCTTGGGTCTTCTTGGCCTTGCGAGCCGTCAAAACGTTCTGCATCTCCTGCAGCCGCTGTGGCACTAGACGGTGACTACGGTAGAAGGCTGCTTTGCTGTCGTCAGTGGGGCGGTTGACGTAGACTTTGTGCAGGCGGTTATTCTCAGCGGGCAGATTGCTGATGGCGGCGTTGTCATCGAATCAGTCCTGCTGTTGGCGTCGTGATTGACCGAGGAGACCTAGGGTAGTCGAATGGACTGTATCCCTTAGTTGACACCATCGGTTCTTCACGGAGGCGTATTCGCCGGCGCCCGCGGCGTCGGCGCGGCGTCAGCAACCCAATGTCGTGTACCAGTCCCTGATATTGCGTGTGTCCCTTTTGAAATCATGTAAATTCTCAACTTCACTCATGATCCTGGGATGTCGAAACGCCTGGCATCTTGAGATATAGCGGAAAATCGATGAGTGTTTGCAACGGGGTAGGAACTTCATAATTGAGGAACCTCAGTGGCTACGGCCTTCGAGACTGTTATTGTTTCGATTTTTTGCAGGTCAACAAGAGCAGGCCTTAAATTACCAAGCGCAATATTTTCATCTTAAATTGGAGTCTCTCCCTTGACGGGACCAGTGGTCCCTATAGTCCCGCTCAGCAACCTGATTTGTTTTTTCCAACCTCTGTCATTTTTTGCATATTTCCTCAAATTTCGTTGTTTTACGATGCATGAGGACATTTATCTTCTCCCACTGCAAATTACCCTCGTCTTTAGTGCACACCCAGTCGGACCAAATCAACTATTACTTCGTGGTGCTACTCTGAAAAACACTCATTGGATCTTTGGTACGCCTTTTAATACTGGCGTCAGACGTCCTTCTTTTGCGTTTCCTAAGCACAACATTTATAGAATCTGGTCTCACCATCTAGAAACTTATGTGCATGTAAATTTTTCACCGACTTACTTTCCCAAAGGCCAAGGACTCTAAAAAGCGGTTAAATTTACGTTTTATGCCTGGATGTGACCTGTATACACTGAGTTAACTCGCCGAACTTTCAAATGTCTCTGCCTTTAGTGATTTTCTCCGCCTATAACGAGTTTGAATCAATACCGGGCCGGTGTCTGGAGAAACGTCCTACCAGTCTTGTTTTTATCATCTTAAACTCTACAGCCAGCAACCGGTCTCACGAACTGTTAACCGAAATTCCGATATGCGCTATCGACGGAGAAGGATTACTTAAGTGGGGTTGTAACATTGCTTATCGTGTAGTATGAACCCAATATATTTAAGACACGCCAGGATGTTGGCTTTTGAACGCGCTTCCATTCGGCTGCCCACAAAAACCGCACTCGGCAACAAATGGTTACCTAAGTTGCATGAATTCTCCCCCATCGATTTTCGATGTTCGCATAAATCCGAGTGTAATTTATAGAAGACATGCACAAAAATACTCTTTCATGTACTTATTTGGTAGCAAATAATTTCCTCAAGTTTTGTCTTCGAAGAAAGGATGTCTTTCAGTTTTCAAAAAGTCATTCAATTTCCGGCTAATTTTAGACCCAATCTGCTGTTACACATGCGCTTAGTGTTCCAAAACTCCATGATGCGTAGTTTCCTGGTGAGGAAAATCATGTATTTCTCTACGCCATTAAAACGCCATAAAGGGCTCATGGAATTTCACAGTGGATGTGGAGCGCGTTGTATACTGCACAAACAACCTTGGTTAACGTACTGATCCGATATTGCATGAATGGGCGCTTCACGGTCTTAAAAATCTCGTAATTAGACAGTTTTTAAAACCGAAAAATACCCTTTCTTCAGGCATAAAATAGGAAGAAGTGATTTACTACCAAATAAGTGTGGGAGAAAATATGTTTGTGAATGTTTTAAGTAAATTGCGTTTGAATATATGTTGACACCCAAAGTTGATGGAGAAAATTCATACTATTTAAGTAGCCATTTATTATCTATTGCGGTTTTCGCATGCAGCTGAAAAGAAGTCCATTCAAAAGCTATTATTTTGGCCAGTCTAAAATATCACTAGATTATGCCGCACAATAATAAATATGAATACCTGACCTAAGTAATCCTTCTTCATCGAAAATGCATTGCAAGTTCCGGCTGACCTTTGGATGAGATCTATCACTGAGTACATCAATGGCTCTGGGCTATCCATCTCTCCCATTGTTATAAGCAGACAAGGATGCGCTGATTAACCGCATACATTTTATTTAAGCTGACGAAGATCTCGTCGGAGTACAAACGGAAAATGAATGTGATGGATGTGTCTGCTACAGCAGTTATCATAACTTCCAACTTGCGTTCTGCTTTCTAAGGCCCCATTTCTCAACATAAGGGCATTACCGACCAAGATCCTACATCTAAAACGCAAAATTTGGCCCAGATACTGATTTACTATCGGTTCCGATGATTTTTCGAAGTTGGAGAATACCTCATGTTGCTTCGTCAATCTACCATTCTGCCGACCGCCTGGATGGGAGGGCGCCTGATTTGTGTATTTCTAGGCTTTATCGGCAAACCAGGGGAGATCACACAGAAAGGTGTACAACTTAGCTGACTGCGCGAAAATCCTAACAACCCTACTGAGGTTGGTACGAGTTCTTCGCAGTACTTCGCTAGCGAATATGGTGGAACTATCTCCAGGTCGGGCGAGGCCGTTACTCCCACCGGGTCAAAATGTAGTGGGCATATCATTCTTGATTAATGCCCTCATCAGATTTGGGGAAAGTGGCTTCAACGCCGAAAACATGCAACTGGATGTCGCAGGCAGTTCGCTACATTGACCGTGCTCCGTGCCGTCGCACTTTGTGACTTCGTAATGGATAGAATTTGCATTTAAGCTCTCCGTGGCGCGTGACTATGACCTTTTATCGTGCTCTCAGACCTACTGATTCATCAGAGTCCTAATTATTAGAATGGTTAACAAATCATCCGAGATATCTCCCATTCGCTAATCTCAAGCCGTCTGATCCATCGGTGTACCTTTGCCTTGTTAATCTCCTTTCATGCTTTTCTATTTTTTCTTATTTTCCACTGTAGGCTCAGTGCTGTATACCGGGAAAGAAACGAAGGTGATGTTAAACTCTGCCGCTGCGCCTCTCAAGCGGTCGTCTGTCGACAGGCAGACCAATAAATACGTACGTTTCAATGTTTTGTTACGTAGGTAATTTGTCTTTCTAGTGTCCCTCAGCCGTTGCTATGAGGGTGAGAGAGGCCCATGTTATGAGCGTCGGCCATTTCTGATTCCTGTGATACCGCGATATTTGGATTTTGGTGAAGTGCAATGCCGCTGGGTAGCCGTGATTTTGTCTGTGTCGTCATTGGTTTAATTTTTCACGGGTAGCAACGTTAGAGATTGGGGCATGACTCAGTTGACAATATTCCATCAGTCTCGTTATGCCGTGAACCGCATGTACGGA